TCAAACTGATGTCTTCTCCTCCTTAGTGCCTCAGACCTAGTTTCTATTCAGAGATGTTATAACAAGTTAGAACAAGTTTATTTTGGTGCAGAAAAAATTTGAAGTTCATGCATCTTTTTTTCATAATGTGCATTTTTATGGGCTTTTTAAAAAGCCTTCATAAATGGTCCTTCTTTTAAATGTTCCTAATTTTGACTGATATTTAAGATATACGAATGGTTTTTGTATATTGATTGTATAGTCAAAACTCTTCCTGAATTTAATTTTAAGGTTTCATAGATTCTTTTGGATTGTCTATACTAATATAACCATGTCATCTGTGAAAAATGGCAGCTTTCTTTCTGTCTGTCATTCTTATATTCTTATTTCTTGTCTGAAGCCCTAGTAAGACCTCCAGATCATTGTGGAATGGAAATGGTGAGAACGAATATCACTGTCATTTTTTTTTTCTCATTGTCATGTTCTTAAACTGTGAGGCAATGGGGATTACCTGTAGATACCCATTATTCAATTAAGAAAGTTAAGCTTTGGGACCAGCAGTTAGCGTAATGACTATGTCGGTGGACTCCCATATAGTCGACCATGGTTCGAGTCCTGCGGTGGCTTAAACTCACACCGAGTGTTTGTGCGTGCGTGGCCCAGATCTTGAGAGGAGCATGGAGGAGAAGGGATTGTGGTGTGGCCATCCCCCCTGGGAGGTGATTTCTCACTTTCTGTCTCTCTCTGTCTTTCTGACAAGCGCACGTGCCCTACAGCAAAAACGTCTCCAAAAAAAGGAAAAAAGAAAGTTAAGCTTTATTCTTGGTTTATGGGAGTTTTTATCAATGTCTTTTAAATGCTGAATTCCATCAAATTATTTATTGAGATGATTTTTCTTGAGTTTTTTTTCTATTAATCAGTTATGTTGATTTTGCAATGTTAAATAAGCCTTTTGGTTTTGGAATAAACGCACATGGTCATGATATGTTTTATATTTCATTGGGCTTGCATTGCTTACAATTGTTTAATGTTGTACATTATGTTCATAAATGTAAACTTTCTATAATGTCCTGAAATTTTTCTTTTTTATGTAGTCCTTTTCCAGTTTTGTTAGGTTATAATGGTCTTATAACTTGAATTGAAGAACACACCCTTTTCCTTTCTTCTCGGAAAGATTTTCTGAGATTGACTTTATTTCATCTCTAAATGTATACTTAAATTTACCAGTGAAGCCACCTATGTGGGCCTGGAATTTTCTTGATGGGAAGGATTTTAGTTCTAAATTCAGTTTCCTTAGCAGATTAAGACTTCAGGTTTCCTATCTCAGCAGATAAGAACACTAGATCACATTTAATTTTTTTTTCAGTGATTGTCAAGGACTGATAAGAGTTTCTAGCCGAGGCATTGCTATAAGTGAGCAGATGTCAAAGTTGAAAAACCATTTATAGACTAAATAGAAAATATTTTTATCAAGAAAAGTAAAGGAAATAATTTAGAAAGGAGGTTATAGATGTTAATTATGAGCCCTAGGAAATAGAGACACAATCAGTGTTATCTAGAGTAAGGTGATAATAACCAAACCATGTTACCCAAGAGTAAAAGTGCATTTATTACTGAAGAAAAAAAGTAGTTCATTGGATCAAACAGAGAACATAGTTCCTCTGCCAACATTAAAAATTTCATGTTTTTCTGGGGGATTATTTCTCACTTTCCTGCTCAACTGTCTCTTTCTGTCTCTCTCTAGCAAGCATATATATATCTATGACCAAAAAAGTCATGCTTTTACTATGTTTGTTCTCAAATTTAACTTATGGTCTCTTCACCTGGAAGGGCTTATTAAACTTTTCATTTGGCCACCAATTGCTTCCCATTTTTTCCTTCAAGCTCTTACACTTGCTTTTCTCCCAATCTTTAGTGTTCTTGGGCCATTAATCTTGATATCTAAGGACAACAAATTTGGCTCCCTTGCTTGTAGTTTTCTGGGAGAGTTTTTATGTAAAATTTTGGGGTATGAGAAATATCTATTTTCTTTTCATCCTTTTTGAGAACTGTCATTTCTTTAATAGGAATATTAACTTTTAGACTCTGCTTTCTACGATACACTGTGATTTATTTACATGTGAAATTAACTGCTCCAGGAAAGACTCATTAAAGGAACAATCTGGATATGGCAGGAAATGGTACATATTCTGGTTTGGGCATTTGACTAAAATTTTGATACCATTGGTGCTTTGTTCCATCCAAATGCAACAAAGGAATTTAAGAGTTTAAAAAAAAAAAAAAAACAGTAAACCGGAGCCAAATAGTGGTGAAGCAATACAGTGTGGTGCACTGTGAGGCAGACACATGGGAAAGTTACTGGCTTATATCTGGAGACTTCCTGAGTATACCCGGGCACGTATGTGTCCATGCTGCGGACTGGTTGAAACGGGTGATCATGGCATTAGCTTGCTGCTGGGGGTGTTGTATCTCTCTTTCTCTCTTTCTTTATCTCATTTCTTTCACTCCTGGAGTAAATAAATAAACTTTAAAAAACATTTAATTATTAATTCTACAGTTTAATAGGCTGGTGATGATAGTAGTTCACATGGGTATTTGTTGTTTTAGGGTTATAGGCCAATTTCCTTAAAGATCACAGATATTCGGGACCAGTGGATGGCATATGGTTATGTTGCTGGACTCTCACTTGGCCAGCTTCGGTTCAAGTCCCAGACCCAGAGACTTCAAGCTATGTTGGGAGTGTGTGTGTGTGTGTGTGTGTGTGTGTGTGTGTGTGTGTGTGTGCACATGCGTGCCCAAAATTCTGAGACTAGAGAAGGGATTATAGTGTAGCCATCTTCCCTGGGGATGATTTTTCACTTTCTGTCTCTGTCTCTCCAGTGAATACATAACAGCCTGTAGCAAAAAAAAGATCACAGCTACTTAGGCACAACCATGATAGCACTCGTTGACATGCCTGCTTGGCTTACTGAGTTCAGATGGGAGGTCTGGGTCCTGTTCCCAGCCCTACCCTAAAAAGCTAGGTGTGATGGTGTAGACCTGTATACCCAGCTATTCAGGAGGCTGAGGAAAGAAGATCACAAGTTAACAGCCAGCTGGGATAGCATGCAGATAGCACTGTCTAGAACTGCAGTCCCAGATACTTGGAATGCTGAGACAGGAGGTTCATGACATATGAGACTATGTTTAAAAAAAAAATTATTGACAAATATCCTTTTATATCACCTAGGGAAGATTGGACTTCCAAATTCAAGAGCCATTGATAGAAGGATTTTATTGAAATGCATTTATATTGAACTAGATAGGATACAATTACTGTTGGGTTCTTTAAAGTTCTTAATACTAATAAACATGCTAGATCTCCAAGCCCTGTACTATCAGTAGACATTGTAAACTTACTTTTTTATATGGTTACAGATAGACAGAGTTGTATAGATAATGCTTCTTTTGACAGAGCATGCATTTTCCCCCCCAATACATCGTAGTTCTAGTCATTTACTGTGGTCTTCCATTCAGATCTTTTCATTTCTTTACGTTACTGATCTGGCCACTGTAGTAACTTGAATTAATGATCTCTGCATTTTTGTACCCTTAATGTATAGCCTAGAGTGCATTGTCCATAAAAGATACTACATAATTTAATAAAAATGGAGAAATGGATATTTGATCATAAGTATTACAGCTAATTTTGAATGCTTTGTAACTTTATCGCAGTTAACATCCCAAGGAAGTTAAACACAGCTTTCTATGTATGTGGTAATGATTCAGGTAATTCAAGTATGTTGTGTCTTCGTAAATTACAATTAAAATGTGTTTCTTATCTGGATCTTTGGAAAGTATGGTCAGGAATAGCTTTATTTCCTGTTCTTAGGTTTAGCTAGAATGACAACCTATCTGTGATAAATATTGAAATGAAACAGTAGATATGTTTGCTTTTTTTTGCTTTTTATTCGGTTTTCATTAAAACTTACAAGAATAGATATAAGTTGGGTTGACAAGTCTGAACTAGTATAAGGACATAAGCTTTTTGCATCTTTTTAAAATTTTTGCTAGAGAGTGCATACACTCATCAGAAAGAGACAGAGGGAAGGGAGTGAAAAAGCACCCCCCCTCCCATGGGGGATGTTCATACACAGTCCCTCTGTGCTTCTCCTTTTGGGATTTGGGGCACTCTCGTGCACATGCATTTGGCATGTCTTTGAAGCCACTGACCTGGGACACGAACCACAGAGTTGGCCACATGGGCTACTCGAACTGCCACACCACGGACAAGGTCCTCACTACTATTTATGAACTTTCTGATTTTTATTTCTCACAAATAAATTGTATTTATTTATTAATTTTATTTTTGCCAGAGAATTCATGCACTGACCAAAGAGCAAAAGAGAGAGAGAGAAAGAAAGCAATCCCTAATAGGGCAGAGTCACTCTGGAATCTCTCCCCCTTCATTTCTTTACCCTGTCAGGATTCAGGATATACACACATATACCTGGCATGTTTTTCAAGCCACTGGGATTGGGATTCAAACTGCAGTCAGCCATACAGAATCTGGCTGCCTTTACCATCAGGCCACAGAGCCAGCTCTGTGTACTTTTTTAAAAATAGTCTACAAGGGCCAGCCGTGTGTGTGTGTGTGTGTGTGTGTGTGTGTGTGTGTGTGTGTGTATAGTGGCCTACAAAATAACTTCTGAGAAAAATGAAGTCATTATACTTGAGGTTTATTTTAGTGTTTTCAGTGACAGCCTTCCCTGGATTTATTGTGCAGATAAGTTAATGCAGAACTTTAGTTGTATTTTCCAAAGAAATCAAATGGGATTGGTTTGTTTTATTGATCTAAATATCTAAACTAGTTTTTACCTGGAAACTGAGCTCATAATCAGTTTTTTTAGCTAATAAATCTTTTGCCATATTCTGATAACAAAGCAGTGAATATGCATTATACATTATAAGGTTAATAATTGATAAAGGGAATCGTGATTTGTCTCATTATTGAAATACTTTTCACTTTCTTTGTTGCGAAGCATCTTCTCAGCCTGTCGATAACCATGTTAGCCCATCTTCCTACGTGGGCCAGACACCAGCATCGCCAACTAGATACTCACCAGTTTCTAAAGCAGTGCTTGGAGACGATGAAATTACAAGGTAAGCAACTTGACATTTATTCTTATATAAAGTTAGCTACTAAACAGAATTTTAATCAGCCTGGTAAGGTGACCACAATTTTTAGGACCAAGAAATTGTATTGGCAGTGGAAGAATTTAAACCTTAGTTTTTTTTCCATTGGATGATTCATTAGAGTCTGAAATATTAAAATGTTTTGTATTACAAATAAATCACTGCTTCTATTTAAATACTGCTTTTTTTTTTTTTTCCAAGAGAGATTTTTGCCATAGGATGCATGTTGTTCACCAGAGAAAACAGAGGCAGAAAGCAAGAAATCACTGCCCAGAGCAGGTGGCCACTCTGCAATCCCTTCTCCTCCATTCTCCTCTTGGGACTCTGGGCACCACGTGCACATACACCCAGCGTGAGCTTCAAACTGCCAGGTCCTAGACTCAAACTGCAGTCAGCCATGTGGGAGTCCAGCGACATAACTCTACACCATTTGCTGGTCTTATTAATACTGCTTTTATTTTTTTTAAAGATCTGGTAAATTATCCTTAGAAATTGTTTAAAGGAGCCATCCGGTGTCATGTTAGTTGAGGTGGTTTGATCCCACATGGCTGTGTGCACAGTTCAAGTCCCAAATCCATTGGCCTAAAAAATATGCCAGGCACATGTATGCCCAAAATCCTGAGAGGATAATGGAGGAGAAGGGATTGTGGCATGGCCATATCTCCTAAGGGAGATTTTCTCAGTATGCCCCTCTCTCTTGTCTCTCTTCAGCAAATATGCACCCTATAATATAGCAAAATTTTTAAAAAAGAATATACTTATACATATTTTCAACTGTTTGTATATTTCTTATCTAATCTGTACCATAAAATATGGCAATTATTTGATGTATGTTCAGAACTCAATTAAAGATATTTTCTTTGATATATTTTTTTTTATTATTTATTTAATTTTATTTATTCATTCATTTATTTTATTTTGACCAGAGACAAACACAGAGAGAGAGAGAGTGAAGGGGAGAAAGGAAGCCACCAGGTCCAGGACTCAAACCGTGGTCGGCCATGCAGGAGTGTCCAGCACCTTAACCACCATGCCTCCTGCTGGTCCCTATAATAAATTCTTGATACCTAGGCACCTTAAATTAATTTTCATCTAACGTTACTAACTTCACTGAAGATCATAGATTAGCTATCTTTTTCATTCCTAAGCATTCCAATGATATGGGAAAAAAACTGGTGGAAAAGTATTTTATGTCTATTTCACATTATTCAATATAGTAGTAAGATTTTGAGGGGACTAACAGCGTAATGGCTATGTCACTGGACTCCCATGTAATCGATTACAGTTTGAGTCCCAGACCCAGTGGCTTAAACTCATGCTGGGCACGTGTGCATGTATGCCCAAGATCCCAAGAGGAGAATGGAAGAGAAGGGATTGTGGCGTGGCCGTCCCCCCTGGGGGTTGATTTCTCTTTAAGGACAAATAAGAGTTTTCTTTTCCTTTTTCTTTTCTTAAGGTTTTTGCCATAGATTGCATGTGCTTGCCAGAGATGGGGACGGGGAAGCGAGAGAACATCCCCCAAAGGGGATGACCGTGCCACACTTCTCCCTCCTGTGTTCTCCTGGAATTTTGGTTATGCACACACATAAACCCAGTTTGATTTTCAAGCCTCCAGGTCTGAAACTCAAACCATGATTAGTCATGTAGGAGTTCATTGTCTTAACCTCTACTCCACCTGCTGGCCCCCTTCTTCTCTTCTTAAAGAGCTAGCAATGTTAAAAATTTTATAGGTGCTCAGTAATTGTGTTTGTATAAAAATTTATCTTAAAGAATAGTGTTCTTATTTGTTTGTGATATGAACATTCAGAGCTGTTAGTCTTTTCATTGGGAATAATGCTGTGACGAACACTGGCATATAAGTAGCTGTGCAAGTCCCTGCCTTCAGTTATTTGTGATATAAACCTAAGGGTAGAATAGTTGAGACATAAGAAATCTCTGTGTTAGCTTTTTGAGGAACTACCAAACTGCCACAATGGCTGTACCATTTTGCATTCTTAGCAGTAATATAGGAGAGTTCCTGTTTCTCCACATCTTCACCAACACTTGTTACTTTTTTTTTTAATAGTTAGTCTAGTAGGTGTGAAGTATCTTGTGATTTTGATTGGAATTTCCCTATTGACTAATGATGTCGAGCCACCTTCTCATGTGCTTCTGTTATTTCAATATCAAAATACACTTTCCTATGGAAATGCTGTCAAATTTCAGCAGGCATTTTTA